TAATTAATTCTTGATCTTTGTAAATAATTAATTTGTAATCTAAACCAATCCATCAAACTTTTTTCTTCTCTTGATAAGATTTTTGTGTCTTTACATAACAATGTTCTTAACTTTTTGAAGAAAGATACTTAGCTTTTTTTTTACTGTTGAATATAAATTCAATTACTTTATAAACTAAAGAGGGTTTAGATTAAATTTATTTGTTATAGAAGACTAAACTTTGTATTCAATTCATTGACAAGACAACAAATATTTTTTGGGTTAAAACTTTGAGCAGGTGAATAAAGTGAAAGAGTTAATGATGAAGAGATAAAAGTGATAAAGGCAAAAACCAAGGATTAGATCTCTATTCAAAATTCGCCGCCGCGTTCATCCTTTTTCTTAAACTCCTCAAAAATCATCGGCTTCTAGATCTCTATTCAAAATCTCTCATCTGTTTTTGAAAAAAAAAACTCCTATGACTAAGAGATAATGTGGAAGTTAACCTGAAAGGATTAAATCATAGTTTACTCCTAGTAAAACATTTAGGGGTCGTGGAGGTGGAGGGGGAGATGGTGGCGGTGATATCGATTTTTTTAGTGGCGGGGTTGAAGAAAAGGATGGAGGAGGCGGCAAGTCTACATTTCTCTACAACTACACTAGGTAATTAAATCTTCAACAAAAAATAATAATTCTCCCAAGTTGGATTCAAATCCCTCAATATTATTTTAAATAGAAACTTTCACAAAGAATTAAGGTTGAAAAATAATTGAGGAAGAAAGGATAAAGGAGAAGGAGAAAAAATAATTTAAAAAGATTAATTGGTGAAAAACACGTGTCAAGTACGTGTGTTTCACCACAAGACACATGAGTGGTTATAGTGTTTTAAGGGGTTATTTATTTCATTTTAAAATAGTCCAGGGGTGATAGGATATCCGTGAAGTTGGAGTGTTTAACTGAGATTTCATGTATAAGTTGAGGGGGGGAGGGGGTTTAGACCATTTTCTCAAATAAAATTGAAACCTTTTTATTTAGAACTTTCGATCAAAAAAGAAAAAATGTTTTCTTTTAAATGGGTTGATATTTAATTTTTGTCTTTAGCAATTGAATTTCATAAATTTCTGATCAGGGATATAATTTGCAGGACATTATACTAAAAAGAAAAAAAAAACCTAAATATACATCTTATTTTACCATAATCTCTAAAATTTCCTAGCATTTTAAAAAAATTCAAAGTTCCCTCTCGGATACATCACTCTCCTCTCGCTGATACATCCTTATCTCCCTATCAGATACATCCCTCACCCATGTATCCGGACGTCTGCTAATGTATCGGGAAGACTAGTGATGTATCCGGATGTCCTATCCTCTCTATGATATATACCTCCCCTTTGGGATACATCCCTCACCTACGTATCCAGATGTATGTTAATGTATTCGAAAGTCCAGTGATGTATCCGAAATCCATAAATTTTAAAAGATTTTTATAATTTGGAAAAAAGTAGAAAAATAATGTAATTAATTCATAACACCATGAGATTTAAATAAATTATACTAAAAGATATATATATATATATATATATATATAAATTCATGCTTTAAAAAAAGTTATTTACCTTATTAAACAAAATAATGACCAACACAAAATATAAGGACAAAAGTGCAATTTTATTTTATTTTTGGTACGGAAGGATATTAATAAGAAAAAATTCTCAAGAGCTATCTGCAATTAGGATAAACATTGTCTATTAATGGGCCAACTGTCGGGGTTAGGGGTTGGTAACACTTCAAAATAATTAAAGGATAAACTACATAACTACACACACATCACTACCATATATACTACATTTACCTCTAGTTTAAAATAATTACATATATTACCACTTTTAATATTTGTATCATATATTTTTAAAAATTTAATCAGATACACTAATCCCTTAAATAAGGAATTGAATAATTATCTACTCCTTAATTAATGGTCCATATCCATTAACAAGTCAAATCATCTTCTTCTTTTTTCACATATGCCGTTTCCTCCGCAAGCCCATCCCTCCTTCTTCCTTAATTCATCTTTTCCCTCTTTCTTCCCTCATCTTCTCAATATATGTTTGCATGTTCAAATCAACATTATACATTAGGTTTGTTTCGATTGTTTTATTATTCTCACGTATTTTGATTTTGTATCTGAGTTAGAGTTCATAATGTTCTGAAGTTCAATTTTATAGAATTTTACAAATTATGTTTTATATTTTTTGATTTTGTTGTTTCTCGGACATTTTAATGGTTGAACATTCCCAAAATCGGATGATTCTCGTCAAAGGTACTACACATTAACAATACTATACTAAATCAAATAACTTTTATTTGCTCATTTCCACTCATCAATTTCTCATTGTAGGGACTGACTCTTCATCCGTCAACATTCAAGTCGAGAATAGATCTAAGTATAGGTATGATTCAATCAAGATGAAGAATTACGCCAAGCTTTAATTAAGAGAAAAAAATATATCATTAGATGCACATCAAGTGCAACAATGTTGGATACACATCAGGTGTACATGTATCTAGTTAAGAGTTCATGTATCTGAGTTAAGATTATCTGCATCTATGAGAACAAATTTTAGATCCTTAAAGAAAGGAAGAATTTTGAATTTTTTAACTTTTTTTTGGATTAATGATAAGACAAATACTCCACAATTGTGATTTGTTCCTAAATTCGTGTGTTTCAATTACATTTCATAATTAGACACACATAATTATATGTGTGTTTACTATGTATCCGAGATACATGATTTTGAATATAATGTATGAAATTGATAGTTGATACATCGAATTAATAATAGATACATATAAAAGATACATGAAATTAAAATTAGATCATATAAATAGATACATGAAATTAATATTATATCATATAAATAGATACATGAAATTAATATTATATCATATAAATAGATACATGAAATTAATATTATATCATATAAATAGATACATGAAATTAATATTATATCATATAAATAGATACATGAAATTAATATTATATCATATAAATAGATACATGAAATTAATATTATATCATATAAATAGATACATGAAATTAATATTATATCATATAAATAGATACATGAAATTAATATTATATCATATAAATAGATACATGAAATTAATATTATATCATATAAATAGATACATGAAATTAATATTATATCATATAAATAGATACATGAAATTAATATTATATCATATAAATAGATACATGAAATTAATATTATATCATATAAATAGATACATGAAATTAATATTATATCATATAAATAGATACATGAAATTAATATTATATCATATAAATAGATACATGAAATTAATATTATATCATATAAATAGATACATGAAATTAATATTATATCATATAAATAGATACATGAAATTAATATTATATCATATAAATAGATACATGAAATTAATACTAGACACATATAACATATACACAAAATTAATATTAGATACTTCTATGATACATATGAATGTACTTGTATGATACTCATGTATCTAAGTGTTTAGTTTGTTGGATACATCATATATTGATAATAGATACATCAAATTAATGGATTTTATTATTTTAAGAGTAATAAAATGAAATTAATCAAATTGCATGACCGAGATATACATGTTTTTGTCTTTTATTAATAATATTAACGAATTTATTATTTCAAATAATAATAAAATAAAATTAATTAAACATAAATACACTCCTTGATTTCTGCCTTATATTAAGGAAATCAGTTACAACCTATTAATTTAAACAAATAAAATATGTATCTCGATTTTAAATTCGGCAGATACATGTATCTCACGGATTTAAACTCATGTATCCTAAGTATGAAATATGGTAGAGGAAGTAATATCTAAAACTATTGGGAATCTAAGTAATTAGGACCTAAACTAGTGGGATTTATGTAGTTTGCCCATAATTAAATTCACTTAAGAGTTACATTTAAAAAAAATACACGTATTTTTTTTTTATAATAAGTGAAATATACAGTTTTGACAACAAAATACATTACTTTCTAATGTTCTCATTTAGGTGGAACTTTTCATTATTGCTATTTTATAATGTACTCTTTATTGTACTGACATGCGGAATAAATAAATAAATATAAATAGTATTTTTGGTAATTTTTAAATAGCTAAGTTTTAATTTTTGATGGACCTAATTTGATTAAATTTTAAAAAATTAATTAAATTGACTTTTGTAAATGAAAATAACAACTTCGTATGCATATGGACAATTTAAATTTAAATTATACATTATAATTAATATAAATATTAATAAAATATTCATTTAGCAACTTTGTCAAAATTTTAACTTGACACACCTATCAAAAAAATATTGATTAATGAGTTTACCATTTTATTCTTATTACTTCCCAAATATTTTTATTCTTTATATTTTTCAAAGATATTAACATAATATTAATAAATTAAGAGTAAAATAGATAAACAAAAAATATTCTTTCTTGATTTGTCAATAAAAAGGACAAATTAAAAAAAAATTGAACAAGTGAAAAAGGATAGAAAGAGTATTATTTTTAAAGAGCTGTCAAGTTTGAAATGAAGTGAGCAGTATATATGAGTTAAATTCATGATTAGAATGGCGTATGGTTCTTAACAAATTGATTGATTATAAATCATGCTTATGATTGAATAAGATAAGATTTAATTACAAGTCCGGCAGAAGGACCCAGGATTAAGAAAGGCATTTAAGAAAACTTTTACACTTAAATAGTAGTAATTGAAAAAAACATTGCGTACACTATCTTCCAATAAGTGGGACCCGATCGGACTCAAGTGGATAAAGCAAAACTAAAAAGAATAAAAACTATCCATGGGACCCACACCGATCCTCCCCGATCGCCTTCTGTCTTATCTCATCCCTACACAGCCCCTTAACCAAACCTAATTTCCTTACACGTGGATCTAATCAGTTGGTTCGGACTCTGGTTCGGCTTGACGCTTCTTTCTACTTCTTCCACTTTCCAGTTCCTTCCTACTCTCATCTCCTCCATTTTCCTCTCTCTCAACTGTTTCCATGAAGAGTGATCGTTAAGATGATCGAGACGTGAAGGTTTGATTTTCTACTTCTGTTTATTCAATTTCATATAATTCATCGTCTGATGAGTTGATGATCTTCTGTTAATTTTTTTCTCCTTTTTCCGCTTCCAGAATCGGAACACTGGCGAGTTTTCAAGTATCGGAATACAAGTCTCGTGTGAGTTTTGATGTAATATTGTCATCGGCTTTCTGTTAGTAGTGTTGATGAAATTTCTCTACTTTTTCCCGTTCAATTCTTTATAATCATCTTCTTTTCTGTGTGTTTAGCTTGATTTTGGCGATGTATTTTCAGGTGCATATACGATTATCTGCTATCAAATACTGTATATTGTGTTTTTATTAATTAACTGGATTTAGTCTGCTAATTATGTTTCAATTTAATAGGAGTAATTTTTCGGGAGATGTTTCCTTCTGGACTAATCATCCAACTGTGAGTGCAAGGTATCGTTACGCTTAAAAAATGTAAATTAGGAGGTAGGTAAGGAAAAAAACGAGAAGGCGAAGAGACAAAAATAATGTTCTCTCACAATGAACCTTGAGCTTTATTTGATCTGAAACGTGCTAAAATGGTTTTTCCAGACTTTAATCAACACCTAAATACTAATCTGTTAAGTTAGTGGGTGATTGAATAAGTTCGCAGCTTGATGTTTCTCTGAGTTACTGTGAAACAATTTATATTTAGTGAAAAGGGGAAATTGAGTTGTCCTTAGTATACATATTTACACAGAAATACGTTATATCTAACATGACTATATGTGTATGTGGTTTTGATTGGTTGAAATCGCATTGAAAATTTTATGAAAAATTCACCAGACTGTAATCTAGAAGTATTTCATGAATGGTAAACATTTTTTTTAATGCAGTTGTTGTAACATTTCTGTGTACTGGAGGTTTTGTCAACAAAGGCAAAATAGTGTGAACTCATTCATTTGGGGTAATATGACCAGTCTTTTTCATTTTTTAAGATGATGTTTCCTGCTTTAGGAGTGTCCAAATAAGCAGCTGGTTACTTTTATGTGGTAATATCAAACTTTGGACTTAACATATATCGTGAGTTTGCAGTTACGTTTGATGGTCTGAGTACTCTGTTGATGTCTAAATGTTCTTCCTTGTGTTCTGTGAGTGAGCAGCTCTAGTATGTGCGACTTTGTTATGTTTCTCTTCCTCGTGTTCTCACTTTTGGGCGTATGTTTGTAGCTTTCTGGTTCTCATCTATTCTTGGGCCATCATCTTTGGCAGAGTGCTTGTAATTTCTTGAAAGTCATTTGGTTTTATTTAGGTACATCTAGAGTGAGAAATAGGATTCCATTGCAACTTATCAGTAAAAGATAAATCGGGAATAACATGTCCCTTTGTTTTGGCAAAAGTCTGCATCATGCAATCACTCGAATAAGTCTGAGAGTTTGTTCTTCTTTATTATTAGACAATGTTATCCAGTGTCCTTTAGAATTGTACTGTCTCACCAGATGTTGGTGCCTGTATCTATACATATGCAAATATTAATATGCTGGTATAGTCATTTTTATGGGTTCTCTAAAGATGTCAAGTATTTCATTCTGTTGGTTTGACCATTTTTTCCCCTTAAGATGTGCATGATTTTGTCATCATCCTGCAGGTGCTGATATGGCTGCTTATTGCCTTATTGATCCACAATCATGTGTCCCATCGTTTCTAGTTTTAAGCTTATGCCTTAATTCACTTGCATAATTGGTCTCTGGACATCAGTCTTAAGGCTTTTATGGTTTTGTTGGCTTGCAGGGTATCAGAGGTAACCTGAAATTTAGTAGACCCCATGGATTGCCGCTCCAGCTATAATCTGCATTTTTTCTGACATAAAGAAAGTCCAACACTATATAAAATGGGAGGAGCATGTTCTAGGAAGCGTGACCAGCAGGTCAGTGAGGATAGCCTACACAGAGGAGTTTCTGGACGATACTCCAAAAGTGCAAGTTCAAAATGGTTGGGAACTTCATTTTCTCGAGGAGCAGATGCTAAACAGGGAAAAGGAAAATGCCCATCTCTCATGGAATTGTGTATTCATAGAGTCTGTGAAGTATGTCTTCCCATTAAAATGATTTATCAGGCGAACCTGGCCTCTATTTTACGATCTGATTTCTCCTGCACTTCTGTTACAGGACATCGATAAATACAGTACCTTCTCTGTATTGCCTAGGGATATAAGTCAGCAGATCTTTGATGAATTGGTTTGCTTGCAGCGTCTTACAGATGTCTCTCTCGAAGCATTTAGAGATTGTGCTCTTCAGGTATCTGCACGCTTATTTTGTCTAAAATAGAGTAGAACTACTATACAAGGGGTGTTGAGGCATCTGATTCTTTTATGTGACTTTGAGGTCAGACGAACTCTTGATGAAGTGATTTTTGCATTACAGGATCTGAATATGGGAGAATATCCTGGGCTTAACGACTGTTGGATGGATGTTATCTCTTCACAGGGTTCATCTCTACTTTCCCTAGATCTGTCGGGGTCTGATGTCACAGATCCTGGACTGACTAATCTCAAAGATTGCAAAAATTTGCAAGCGCTAAATCTTAATTATTGTGACCAGATTACCGACTGCGGGGTGGAAAATATTAGTGGTAAACATTCTCTCTCCTATGATATGCTGTCTTACGGGAGGAATGTAGTTAAGCCGAAGAGAGCTCATTTAAAGCACAACTCCTTTAGCAGTGATAGGGAGAGGACAGAAAATGAAAGGAGCAAAACTTAAAAAGGCATAAAGTTAAAAGATGGAAGTCTTACTCGTTGGAACTGCTGGATGAAACTGGGCTGTTATATTTTCTAGTGGATCTAGTTGTTGATAAACTTTGCAGGATAAGATTGATTTTCTTAAGTTTTTCCATAGTAATACTGAGTACTTTTTGAGCTGCATAATCTAAAAAAGATGTATCGGTTTGATTTCAAAGTTGCATGTGGTCGTCTTACAAATTATTTTATAGATAGAACCTTTTATTCATTTGGTTTTATATTCACTTGTGCTGCTTTACAAATACAAATGCTATCTGCACAAATCTGTTAGAATATTATGATCCAATTATACCCCCCTCCCCCACCCACCATAATAATCCTTTTCCTTTTGTATTTGTGAAATCTCTGCTAATTACACAATGATTTCAGGTCTAACAAACTTGACAACGGTGAGTTTTAGGAGGAATAATACACTCACTGCTCAAGGGATGAGTGCGTTGTCTGGGTTAATTAACTTGGTGAAACTAGATTTGGAGAGGTGCCCAAAAATTCATGGGGGAATGGTTCATCTTAAAGGTTTGTTCTTCTCTCTAATGGTGCTCCACTATCTATAGTTTATTCAGCACCCTCCGCAGTTTCAAGCTTGAAAAGCCAAAGTTTTGTTGCAGTTATACTTCCCATGAAAACTTTGCGGTTTTAATTTGGTTGTTGAAATTCTTGCTTCCAACACTAAGAATAACTAAACTTCCTGTATGACAGTTCAAGCTCCATTTTCTTTTACCATTAGGCATTATTTCTCTGTGTATATATGGATCATAATCATATAGGATTTTTGGAGAAGAATCTGAAACCAGTTGTATATATCTTGTGTAGGGTAGTCCTTTCCATTTAGCAATCAATAAAATATCAAATCTAATTTGAAATGGTAAATAAATGGATCTTGGGATTAACTAAATTCCAAAAGCTAGCTTAAGAGGGGAGGATTGCCAGAGTATATAAGGAATCACCCATCCTTTTTTCATCCAATGTGGGACTCTTCAACATCCCACCTCACGCGCAGGTTTGAACATCTGTTGCATGGGCAATTTAATATTGGGGTCCAACATCAGTGCATAGTAATTGGGATGGATCCTACTCTGGTATCGTGTGAAGTGTGTGGTCATGTTATCTAAAAGCTTAAGCCATTAGAGATATTATACTTTTTTTATTGAAACTGGCATAGAGTACACTTTTAAAAGGACAACTTGGTGCATTAAGTTCCCACTAGTGCATTAAGTCTCGCTATGTGAGAGTCCGGAGAAGGGCGGACCACAAGCTATTGTACGCATATAGTACACTTTCTTTTACTAAATTATATTCTCAGCACGCCTTCCTATGTGTGAGACCAACTCTTTTTTCATAGGCCGACTATGTGGAAATTCTTTTTGATAATGGCAGAGCCTGCTCTGATACCATGTTAAAAATGGATCTTGAGCCTATCTCAATCCTAAAAGTTTCTTGTTCTTTATATAAATATGATGCGACTGATATTGGGTGTAAGATTTGGTTAACTGCTGAATAATCGACTTTATGATGGTAATATAAAACTGATTAGGTTAGCTTTCTACATGTTTCTTATTTTGGATCTCAAGAGTGTGCTGTGGTTGTTTAACTTTTCAAGAAGTATGATCAAGTTCTTTATTGATTGAGAGTTGTGCTCTGTTAAAGTTGAGTCAAGTAGTTCTTGATTGAGATTGTTGCTCCAAGTCCAAAATCTAATTCCTAATATCTCTTGCTTGCATCTTAATTACTTATTGCTACTTGACTTAAACAATATCTCCTTTACGTGTCAAGTACCTTGCTTCGATATATTTTGCTTTTTGATCGGGCTTTTCACCTTTGTGTTCTAACACTTGAGTTTACAATTTAAATGGTTGAGTTAACAGTTTGCCTACATATCACAGAACACATAAGTGAGTTTCCAAATAAATCACTGAAATTACTTGCAAATGATTAACAACAATAACACAAATATAACCCAAATTATACCCCTTGATGTTCGCTCATTAATGCAAGAAGTATACTAGAGAGTAGAGAATCACAAGCGTATTATTCTCTACGAATTGTACCGAATCTTCTTCACACACTATGGGCATTTTGCCATGATTTTTTTTTTTTTTCATTTTATTTGGGATTTTTGAAGGAGTAGTTATGTTTGGTGTACTTTTTCTAGAGAATATTGAGAATTTGAGGGGGTAATTAAGACTTCTCATAGTTTATGGGGTGGGGGTAATTAGTTCCAAAAATCCATGTTTGAGGGGATAATTAAGACTTCTCATAGTTTAAGTGTGCATTTAGTAAAGTGTGCCAAGTCTAAAGGGGCTTTTAAGTTTTAACTATTAATTCACATCTAAAAACTAGCAAAATTACCCAACTAGACTAATTTACCTGAAACATACTGATAAATCTGTTCTAAAAGAATAATATCTCAAACAGTTAACTTTCTAAAAAAAGAAAGAATAATATGTCAAAATAGATTCACATAATATCATAGATAAGATCCCATACACGAGCTACTACATACTATTACAAATATTTTCCATGACCAAATGTTGATTTTCAAATAAAGTAAAAAGAAGTTAGGAAGTTGGTGAAAAATTCTCATGGCCAGACGGGTCATATATTTAATTTTAGCAAAACCATGGTTTCCTCCACTAGGTTTCTCTGTAGATATATACTCAACATGATCCTAAGATTTTTATTTGTGGCAGGTCTAGCAAAGCTTGAATCTCTTAACATCAACTGTTGCAATTGCATCACGGATTCGGATATGAAACCTCTTGCAGGTATGTCTGCCTGGTTCTGCTATTAACCTAATGTCTATGTGAACTAGAAGGCAGTAAATTGGGGAAATAATTCGACAAAAGGTGCGCTGGAATCAAGCCTTTAGATATGGCTGCTATTACTGAAAGTCCGAGCATCCTGTGGACACCCTCTGTCAATGCATATGTTTTGTCAAATTGGAAAACATAACAGGTCTTTAAGTATGCGAGTTTGTTGGATAGGTGCTTCTATTTATATATTAAGGCAGGAGCAGTGAGGATTAGAAAATTACGTTATAATTATATTGACAATTTTTATCTTCAAAAGAAATTATATTGGATTTTTTTTTTTTTTTTTTTGATAAAGGTAAATTATATTGGAAAGTTTGTATCTACTTTTATGATAGTGTCTTATTTTCCATGCTGTACATCTGCATTTGGAACGTCAATGATATTCTTTCTTAATCCATATAAGTGATAGTAGCATAGTGGTTTTGATATTTCACCTCAATTTTTGTGATATGTTTATGGGGGTATTCATTTCTTTCCGACCAGAAACGGGTCTTTTTGGATATAGCAACAATATGATAAAGTAAAGCTGCTTCGAATAGAAGAAAGTGGCACAAATTTTTTTAGGAGAACTGCTTGATTTCCCTCTGAGATGCTCCTTGTCCAAATCTTTTAGTATTAATCCTTACAAAAACACAAAATTATGCGGTTACAATATTGTACTGTTCTGCTTTTTGGCAAGCAATATTGCACTTTGTTTCATGGTAGAAGTGGATGCAAACCTTGGAGAACCAGTGTTGCTACTCTTTAGTTTTCATTCTTTGTGATGGTGAAAATTAATAATCACTTGAGATAACACATCATGCACATAAAGCTAAACTTTTCGTGAGATAGAGAGGAAAGTCGGCGAGCTTTCTACTTGTAAATATTTGTGCTGAATTATTGTGTATGAAGTGGATGCAAACCTTGGAGACCAGTGTTACTGCTCTTTAGTTTTCTTCCCTTGTGATAGTGGAAACTAATTATCACCCATCATGCCCAAAAAGTTGACTTTTCATGAGATAGAGAGGAAGTCAGCGAGCTTTGAGCTTTTTACTTGTATAATATTTGTGGTGAATTATTTTGTGTTTGTACTTCCTAGTCATAAAGTTGCTTTGTGTATTTCAGGCCTGACAAATCTGAAAGGATTGCAAATTTCATCCAGTAAAGTCACAGATTATGGTGTTTCTTTTCTGAAAGGTACATACTCTTTTCATCTGGAATAATGTTTGTTCTCGCCTAGTGTCCCATGCCCTTCCTAGATGGAGATGACAAAGGGGTATCCTTTTCTCTCAATCTAGCAGTTCTGGGCCTATAAGGTCCCATCTGATTATTACCCCAAGTTAGGATTGGAATTTAAGGTATTTCTATGTGGGGTTTGGGAGTTGGCCATTCGGTATTGAACTATCTAATGTTTATCTTCATTAAGTGCTTTAGTCTGTTTCTGCTAATAGTCTTAGTTTATGCTTTATTTTTAGTTGTAGTAAAACTGATGAATCTATACCAGCAAGGACTATGTGGTACCTGAGAGGGTTACATCTTCTCCCTTTCGATGATATCTGAATGAAATCCTTGTAGACTACTTGCTACTTGGGTAGATGGTATCCTTGTGAAAAATATTGATATTATCTGTTTTTTGCTCCTGAAAATATAAGTTCTCTTTTTCGTGTTATTAAAGTGTTAAGAGGTAACCCTGCATTTTGTCTTAGTGCAAGGTTTCAACCACCCAAGGTTTAATTACTGCCTTAGATTAGCTTCAAGTGTAATCTTGGAGAAATATTATATAAATGCAGGCATATAGAGGTCTTTCACTATAATAATTTTATCAATTATCGGGTCTGTATATCAAGCTTAGACCTGTGCATTCTAGGATCTCTAACAACAACAACATCCCTAGTGTAATCCCACACATGGGGTCTGGGGAGGGTAGGATTTACGCAGACTAGGAGTTCATGTTTATTTTTCTGGTCTATTTAAGGATTCCATTTGCTACATGACAAATTGAATAGAGACAGGCAGAGCACGTATCTTCATTCCATTTTCCCTGCTACATATGTGGTTATTCTGCACTAAATTTTTTTCCTTATTCATGGCAAGACATGTAGGCTCTCGTAATGAAACTTTTGTTGTTTCTTTTGCTCTTGGTCAGCTCTAGAAAAGCTTACTCTGTTGAATATGGAGGGTTGCCCTGTTACTGCAGCGTGCCTGGAGTCTCTCTCTGGTATTGTCTCAACGAAACTAAATTGTATTGGAAAAATAGCATCACCAGGGTATCAGTTATGACCTGGCAACTCTAATTACTATACGTGTTTTACAAGTCTTATCAATGTTAAAATCACAGTAGTGAGGAGGCTTTCCCAAATCTGAGAAATCCTGTATTGTGGAAAATGCTTGTGTCCTCTGCCACCTTTTCATCTTTTAGTTTGGTTTGTGACATCTCCTTTTGCTGTTGCTGCAGATCTTCATTCTCTGCTATATTTAAACCTGAGCAGATGTTGTTTGACTGATGATGGATGTGAGAAGTTTTCAAGTGAGTTCATATTTTTATGATTAATCTATCTGCTCTTATCATTTAATTTGGCATATCTTTTTAGAGTCGTGATTCATTGATTTCATTCTGATCATGATATTCTAAAATTGAATTTTACTTGTCTACATCATTTGCCGTTCGTCTGTAGGTTTGCAGAGCTTGAAAGTGCTGAATTTGGGATTCAATGAGATCACAGATGCCATTCTTGTGCACCTGAAAGGTAATCTTGTTTTTGTGTACTTCTTTCACTTAGTTGGGACATTCCCTGCTTCTTCTGGTTCCACTGTAGGGCGTAATGTCACTTGATGGAATAAAATCCAGTGTTCTTTTCTGGAGAACTCTATTTCTAGTTTCATAGGTTGAATGTAAATGATGGTTGGTTATGATTGTCCTAAGGATGGATAATAACTTTACTGAGTTGTTGTGTGGCGATTTTGAATGGATATACAAGGTGGTTAGGGATTGTGGATGCCATTTGATAAATTTGTATGCCTTCTGGTTCATGGATCATGTCTTAGTTCTGAGTGAGTAGGTATGATCGATTGTTGAACTGTAAATTGGCTGTATCCCGCACCCTCCCAAAAAAGCAGCAGCCGCTTCTCCTTCCATGACCCAAAAATGGAGGAGAAACGGGATTGCTAGTTTCTTCGTTAAACTGGTATGACTTGCGCAGAGCAACTAATGGGGTGATAATGGTGGGATTTGTACTCCGCCTGCCCCACTCTGCCATCCTCATTATCTTCTCTTTTGTAGTCATGTAAGTTACTATTTTATGGGGTTGAGTAACAGACCGAACATCAAGTCTAATGGTGTCCTTGGTGCTGAACTTAATTAGCATGAGGTTTTTAAGTTGGATTTTACCTGTCAAAAAGGAAACAAAAGCATATAGTTCTGATGGTATAAATTTTTACAAGCTTTTGTCTTGCTTTGAGCAGGTTTGTCATACTTGGAGAGCTTGAACCTGGACTCATGTAGGATTAGAGATGAAGGGCTGATTTATTTGTCAGGTCAGTGTTTCACTCAGTATCAGTCAACGGTGCCTCATTTCAAACTAGTTAGACTTTTACTAGTCCTCACATCAATTGATTTATAAACAACGTTCACAAAATAATATTATTGAAACTACTTCTTTAATGTGTCAACTAAAAAGGGAAACTGAATGTTAGTTGTGATTGCTTGCCCTGGAGAGTATTTTTCTGTTATCCTTATCTGGTAACAATCTTATGCCTTTTTAAATAGATAGATATCTTGACCAATTCTCTAGGTCAATTTATGCATAAGTTCTCTGTAACTTTGTTCGACGACCTGTGTAATTCCAGCTATTCTATTTCTAATTTCCCTCTTTTTTGCTATTCTCTGTTTCAGGTCTTCATCGCCTGAAGAGTTTGGAGTTGTCTGACACTGAAGTTGGAAACAATGGGATCCGTCATCTCTCAGGTTTCTCTTGTGCCTTGTGCTTATTGTAGAAATTTGAACTGTACTCTGGTTCTTCTTCATTCGGTTGAAGCTTTCAGAAATTCAAGAACTGGGCTGGACTGGGTTTCATCCCACTTCTGATGAGATGATTGTGTCTTAATTTTCTTTTCTACTTTGCTTTTTAGGGTGAACCAGGTCACAATAAATTTTGTTTAGGTAAAGCCAAGAGAGATTAGATAGACGAGAGGGAGTTGCTCGGATGGTAAGCACCCCTCACTTCCAACCCAAATGTTGCGAGTTTGAGTCACCAAGGGAACAAAAAGGGGTGGGAGCTCCTAGGGAGGGTAAAAAAAAAGAAGAGAGAGATTAGATAATTAGTTGGCTATAGTCGAGAGTTAAATTGGATTATGGCTGCACCGACTTTGGTCTTTCTTCAAGCCTAAAAGATGTCTACAATAATTCAAGATAATTCCTTCGAAACCAAATCTGGGTGAACTTTCTTGGAACAAAACCTGTTCCATGATTTCTGTTGTCGAAGCTGCATGAAGCAGATTGAGAGTAGTGACAATGAATATTGAAACTTGAATGTTATGACTTAAGGATTTCTGAATTGGTTTGGTTCCTTTAAGTCCATCTAAATCCACTTTCTGTATTGCCATGGAGAATGTGAATAGATACTAGTTTATGGGAAAACATTGAACTCTACTCTTTGTGGGAGTACCTTTTGGCAAAGCATATGTCACAATCAGAGAAATGGACGCTGCTTTGCGTTTTGTGCTTATGCAATTTGTTTGCTTTTTTAATGTGCAGGGTTAAGGAACCTAGAGAGCTTAAATCTGTCCTTTACTGTTGTCACGGACAGTGGTCTAAAGAAGCTCTGCGGGCTATCCTCTTTGAGGTCGCTCAATTTGGATGCACGCCAAATAACCGATACTGGGCTTGCAGCACTTACAAGTAAGAATGTTACCATAATGGTAGTGTTGGTGTCACTTTCATCTCAATTTTTTTCCTCATGAGGTCTCAAAGTCGACATGTTGAAGCAAGAATTAGCTCAAAGTTAACTTGAGACCAAGAACTTTGCACTCAAAACGGTGCAGAATTTCTTCTCAAAATTAGCTGTGGATTTTGGAAAGAATGTGGCAAATATACTCTAATTTTTTCAAATGAAACAAGGATCTCAATATCCTGAACAATTTTGAACATGATCTAACTATGCCCAACAATGCACAAGCTCCTATATTATTGGAGCAGGCCCTAGAGTTCAAAAGATTCAGGTTGAACACCCAATTTTACAAGAATTTAAAAAGAAAGGGAAAGGATGGAAAATGTAGTATATTAAGATAAAATTGACATCAAAGATCCCAAGTATGGGAAATAAATGAAAGTTAATATTAATAAAATTAGTTACCTATTAAATCTCTATCAAATGAACTAAAGGTACAAAGCGAAGAAGAAGACATACAAGCAAATCACTCACGTGTAAACTTTTTGATAAGACACTGAAGAGCATAGAGGTCTACCTTGCCCCACAAGTTTAAGATTCAAAACATTCTCCCAACTAATGTTGAAAGGAACGATTTATAGGCCAACTTAAACAGGTCTTGTGACCCGTAAACATCTCTCTGGATACACTAGAGGAAGCCAAAACAAAGGTAATATCAACATGTCAGCTAGTCAGGTTGATTAGGGAAAAGTTGAGATGCTGGTCATTCTACATCTTTCAGGTCATTGAGCTGGCGCTTCTCTGGCAACAAGTAAAAGTCCTGGACATCTAAGAGCCTCTAAAGTCATCTTCCAAGACATCTCCCATCTCCTGGACATCTAAGAGCCTCTAAAGTCATCTTCCATGTCATCTCCCATCTCCGGGTGAATTGTTGTGTCATCTACATCTTCCAAACTCCATTAAGGAGCTTGTAATCCTCGTAAGCTCCGTTCTTGATCTCTTCAAAGACATCCCACTTCTTCAACCTCAAATGCAAGTCGTGGGATTCCTTTGCCTCGACTCTTTGTGAATATCCTCCTTGACATCACTTGAATGGAATCCCTCTCTTTGGGCACTTGGACACTTGGTACTTAAGTAGTCGTTTTGTAGAACTTCTCCTTTTTGGCTATTAATTTTTACTGGTTGAACTTGAAAGCCTAAGAATATCTTTATGGTTCTTAAAAATTGTTGAAATAGGTTGCTTCTCAGGCATTATAGTAGTGTCATGCTAATGCTTACATATATCATAAAGGGATCCCTTCCATAATTTAAGCGGTAACTATGTGAGGGCTCATGTTACTAGATTATGAATTGTGTTTATTAGAATTGATTTGTCCGGTGTGGTTCCTATAAAATGCAGGCTTGACTGGGCTAACTCACTTGGACCTTTTTGGAGCTAGGATCACTGATTCCGGAACAAGCTATCTTCGATGTACGTCTTATCAGTTTTATGCAACATTTGGGGATCTCCCTTCTATCTGAGTCTATCCTGTGGAACTTTTGGAGCTTTCCTTTGCCCCTGCTGCCCTGCCCCTATATCCTGTTTATCCTCCTTTAGGGTGTGGGCTTTTAACTATAGTGCTATTGCTGGTAATATGAAGGATATGCAAAATAGTTCATTCATGTTGCTTGTGGCTAATGGTGGTTTGTTATTCATGTGAAACAAATGTTAATCCGGATATGCTGCTCTACTTTTTCAAAGTGTTCATGCTCCCCTCCCCTTCGCCCTTTTCTTTTTGATTGAATCCTAAATTACATTCCATACTTCTATATCTGGAGTAATTCAGACTGTATATTTCATCACTTTTAATCATTTCAATTCTGACTATGATTGTTCTGGTCAATTAAATCTGTTGATAGATTTTAAGAATCTGCGTTCCCTGGAAATTTGTGGAGGAGGTTTAACCGATGCTGGTGTAAAGAACATCAAGGACCTGACGTCCTTGACACTGCTGAATCTTTCTCAAAACAGTCACCTGACTGATAAGAGCTTGGAAGCGATTTCTGGTATTGTTTCATGTCTATTTATGCTTCTTTCCCTGTAGCTTGAGCTTGTTTATTCCCTTTGATTTTGGAAGTGTGGAGAAAGGGCATATGACATTATCTCTAGTCTTATCCTCCCCCCAGTGTTTGTTAATTGTTATTAGCCAGCTACATTATACTGGGATTTTCTTTAGTTCTTCCTCCCTTTGTTTATCCCATGCAGCTATAGCAATGGATGTACCAATCTCGAGGTGTTTTAAAGAATTTTTCAAAACCATGCATCCATTACCCCTTAGTGAACAGTAGTTGCTGTCTATAGTTTTTTTTTTCCTTCTGAATTTCTAACAGAAGCAGCTTTATCTTTACTGAAATGCAGGGTTGACACAGCTGGTGTCTCTGAATGTTTCAAATTCTCGCGTAACAAGTACAGGGTTGCAACATTTGAAGCAACTCAAGAACTTGAAATCACTTACCTTGGAATCCTGCAAGGTGACTGCAAATGACATCAGGAAACTTCAGTCAACTGAGCTCTCAAATCTGGTGAACTACAGGCCTGAATAGATGATGCAAGGATACTTGTTTTGATCACCTAGTCAGTGCTAGGGAACTGCTGTACATAGATCAACAATAAATCATGTTATTTTTTGAATTGTAAATAATGTGTATTGCAGGTTTGCCTAGATGCCACTCTTCTGTGTATCTTGGTCGATCTTTTCATCATGCCATAGATGAAGCCTTCTCTCGTATTGGGCACTTCAGTATGAGGGAAAATGTAGATAAGCTTCCTTGGCACTGGGGGTAGGTAAATAGGTTTTGTACATATTTGTAAGAAACAGCAACCACTTCTGAATTCTGAATTGGTGTTGCGCCATCAGGTTTCGGCTTTAGTAAGCTTATATTCGGCTAAGGTTCAGATGTGGAAATCATTATTTCCTTGGCAAGTGGAAAAACAATTTCGTGAAATGCTTGGCGTTTTTACCTTTTCTGTTGCTTATGAACAATTACCTAGGGAACTTTGTTTGGATAAATATTCTATGGATGTATCCTTGTGCTTAGTGTCAGTTGTGGGTTCAATCTTGTATTACTATGCATAGTTTTAATACAATATTATCCACCAACGAGACGTACCACAAAATCTCACTTTGTATATTTCACTTGCTAACGCTTGTGCATGATTATTTCGTTCACATTTTGAAGCATTCATTTATTGATATCAAAACATTCATTTTGCATTTCTGTCAATTGTCTTAATCAACAGACTAAATTGTATTGTTGATTCATAAGCGAAAGAATTCGAACTAGTTTTCTGTTGCTCTAGAAATGTCCATTATATCTAATATACCCATTACTATTCTGTAAGTTTCATCATTAACATCATTAGTTCATCTTCACATAACCAGCGAAGAGTTAAGATTTGGCAAGAGCGGATCTGAAAATCAAGCTCTTCTTGTGTGTTCAATTGAATCAGGGAAAAAATGATTTAAACAATCATGAACAACGCCAAAAACAACACACTTTGTGTTCATAATAACTTGAGGTAGAGAATATGTCACGGGTCAAAGGGACTCACCCTTAAAAAAGAGGTGAAACTCGCCAAAAGCCAACTCAAGAATCACTTGAATTAGAAAGATGATAGGAGGAATTGTTGGAGAGTACTGAGCTAAATTATGTCCTGTAGCAAATAGATTACCACAACCGAAAGCATAATGTTGGTGTGTTACAGAATATGGTAACAAATCACAGAGTGATGTAGAATATTACAGAATAATAAGAGTTATTGTAGAATATTTTCTTTTATTGATTTCCTTTTATAGGATTCCTTGTAATTGTATAAATATCTTGTATATTCATGAATAGAAATGCAACTTATTTCATTAGATTACATGGTATCAGAGCCTAGAGATCAAATTTCTTTAAATTTATCTCACCAGCAACATAAGAAGAGACAAGAGGGAGATTTTTTTGGCCGGAAAGGACATCTCTGGTCTAGGTGGCAGCGAGTGAACCTCACGCACCACCTGCACCTCATTTCTGTCTTCCACTCGCTGGCGTTTGGTACAGCATATCTGTTTTTGGCTTACTGCTCCGGCATCTTCTCGTCAATCACGACACATTCTGGTATTCTTTTAGTGTTGAATCTCTATTTGAAGGTTTGTACTTCGTTTTCTCTTCTGGTATTTATCTTTTGTTGCTGCTGAGACTCAGAAATTTGGGTTTAAGAAATCTGGGTTCGAGAATTGGTTAAACAGCCATTGTTCAGTCAAATTTAGACATTCTGGTTATAGATCATTTGCTGCTTTTGTTGCTCGTATCAACTCTCTGACATGGTTGAATATTATTTGGTTTGCTGCCCCGTATTTCTAGTTCGCTGATTCTACAACACATTATGTGTTTCTTCAATCTGGTACACTTATTTGAGAGGAATTGGTGGGTTAGACTTGTTGAACTCCTTTTGTATTCTGAATTACACCAGATATATTTGTCAGAAAAATGACTAAGAAGACAATTCTTGTTTTGGCTGATGAGTATGCAAAATTCTCTCATTTTCAAAAATCACGTAAGGAACCCATTTCAGTTACTACATTTGCGGAGTCAAGGAAAACATGTCTTTTCTCCTCATCGAATAAATGGGTGATTGATTCAGGTGCCACAAATCACATGACAGGTAATTCTAATATGTTTTCTAGCTTTCAATCACATAAAGCACTTTCTCCTGTGACAGATGGTTCAACTTGTAACATTGTGGGATCAGGGACCGTTAAACCAACCTCAACTATCACATTGTCATCTATATTAAGTCTACCAAAGTTGGCCTTTAATTGTATCTCTGTCAGTAGAATTACCAGAGACCTTAATTGTTATATCTCATTCTTTCCCGATCATTATTTGTTTCGTGATCTTACGATAAATCAAGTAATTGGTAAGGGGCAGATATTTGACGATCTTTATATTCTTGATGAATGGGAGCCTCGATTTGGTGCCTACTCCTGTGTTGTGTCTCCATTCGAAGCACATTGTCGGTTAGGACATCCTTCATTACCTATGTTAAAGAAGCTTTGTCCCCAATTCCAAAATGTTTCTTCCTTAGATTGTCACTCATGCCAATTTGCAAAACACCACCGCATCTCGGTAGATCCAAGGGTTAATAAGCGGGTTGGGTCAGCTTTTGAATTAGTTTATTCTGATGTTTGGGGACCATGTCCTGTTGTTTCCAAAACTGGGCATAAGTATTTTGTTACTTTTGTGGATGATTTCTCTCGAATAACTTGGATTTATTTTATGAAGAGTCGTTCTGAAGTGTTTACTCACTTTTGTGCCTTCCACGCTGAAGTCAAAACTCAATTCAGTGCTTCGGTACGTATGCTAAAGAGCGATAATGCCAGAAAATACATGTCAGAATTGTTTCAGTCATTCATGAGACAACACGATATTCTCCATCAGTCTTTATGTGTTGATACACCATCTCAAAATGAAGTTGCTGAGAGGAAGGATAGGCATTTACTTAAACAGTTCTGGGAAGATGCAGTCTCTACAACTTGTTTTTTTATTAATCGAATGCCATCTAGTGTGCTTGTTGGTAACATGCCTTATAGTGTTCTTTTTCCTAACAAGTCTCTCTTTTCGGTGGAACCTAAGGTTTTTGGAAGTACATGTTATGTTCGAGATGTTCGACCATCTATCACCAAGTTGGATCCCAAAGCATTGAAATGTGTTTTCCTTAGATATTCTCGACTTCAAAAAGGATATTTGTGTTATTCTACTGAACTTGGAAAATATTTGGTGTCAACCGATGTGGTATTTTCAGAGAGTACCCCATTTTTCTATGCACCTCCCGTTTCTACTAGACAGTTGGAGGAAGATGAATGGTTAGTCTATCAAGTTACCCACGCTTTGAAAAAACAATCAAATGATGTTCCTCAATTTCTAGTTCTTCTATTGAGCACCAATTGTGCCTTTAGAACCTGCTCCGTCTGTGCTAGCAAAACCTCCAATTGTTCAAGTTTACTCGAGGAGAGAGAGACCAATGAAACATGTCATGTGCCAGTTCCTTCATCATCATATCTTTCACCATCTGATTTTTTAGAAAATCTTGACCTCCCTATTGCTCTTCACAAAGGTACACATACTTGCAAATCCACATATCGCATTGCTAATTTTGTTTCCTATGACTACTTATCCTCTGCATCTAGATCTTTGATTGTCTCTCTAGACTCTAACTTTGTACCCAAAACAGTCAAGGAGGCTTTGCATCATCCTGGATGATCTGAGGCAATACTCGGTGAAATGCATGCCTTAGAGAAAAATCACACGTGAGATTTGGTGGATTTACCGAAGGGCAAGAAATCAGTGGGATATAAGTGGGTTTTCACCGTTAAAGTCAATCCATATGGTTCTGTGGCCAGACTGGTGGCTAAAGGCTATACTCAGACTTATGGGGTGGATTATTTAGACACTTTCTCTCCGATGGCCAAACTCACTTCTGTCCGGCTATTCATTTCCCTAGCTGCTTCTGAGAATTGGCCTTTACATCAGTTGGATATCAAGAATGCATTTCTTCATGGTGATCTTCAAGAGGAAGTGTATATGGAGAAACCAATCATCGGAGGTAACTGGAGTGCTTTCATCAAATGATGCATGTGGGCTGAGCCATTCTCATCCTAAGTGGTGCCCCGATTCGGCCTGGCCGATCGGGAAGAGATTCACATAGAGACTGCTACTATCCGGGAATCTCTTTCTATGTTAGCTAATGGTGGGAGCAACCACCCAATTTTGTTACTCAGGGGGAGTATAAAAAAGTTTGTCATTTGAAGAAGTCTTTGTATGGCTTGAAGCAGAGTCCCCGAGCTTGGTTTGGCAAGTTTAGTGAGGTAGTTCAGGAGTTTGGACTGAAAATGAGCAAATGTAATCATTTTGAATTCCACCGACACTCCGTAGCTGGCACTATCCTACTTGTTGTATATGTTGATGACATTGTCATCACATGAAGTGATTATGCGGGGATCTTTTCTCTCAAAGGACTTGGGTCGGTTGAAGTACTTCTTAGGAGTAGAAGTAAATAGAAGCAAGAAGGGAATTTTTCTATCTCAGAGAAAGTATATTTTTGACCTGCTTGCAGACACTGGAAAGTTAGCTGCCAAACCTTGAACTACTCCAATGGTCCTCAATGTGCATCTTATAAAAGATGATGGCGATCTTTTTTATGATCCTGAGAGATACATGAGGTTAGTTGGGAAGTTAAACTACCTCACTGTGACTCGTCTGGATATTACCTTTGCAGTAAGTATTGTTAGCCAATTTATGTCAATGCCTACAGTCAAACATTGGGAAGCTTTAGAACAAATTCTTTGTTACTTGAAAGGAGCTCCTGGACGTGGCATATTGTATGACAATCATGGTCATACTCGCGTAGAGTGTTTTGCTGATGTTGATTAGGCGGGATCCAAAATTGATAGAAGATCTACAACAGGCTATTGTGTTTTTGTTGGAGGGAACCTAGTATCGTGGAGAAGTAAGAAACAAAGTGTTGTATCTCGATCTAGTGCTGAATCTAAATATAGAGCTATGTCACTGTCTACGTGTGAGATTATGTGGATACATCATCTATTATCTGAAATTGGAGTGAAGAACTATACACCAGCAAAACTCTGGTGTGACAATCAGGCTGCTTTTCATATAGCCTCAAATCCGATGTATCATGAAAGGACTAAACACATCGAGGTTGACTGTCATTTTATTTGTGAGAAGATTCAGGAAAAACTGATTTTCACAAGCTACGTGAAAACGGGAGAGCAATTAGCTGATTTGTTCACCAAGGCATTGAATGGAACTTGAGTTAGTTATCTTTGTGACAAGCTGGGCATGATCAATATCTATGCTCCAGCTTGAGGGAGAGTGTTACAGAATATGGTAACAAATCACAGAGTAATTGTAGAATATTACAGAATAACAAGAGTTATTGTAGAATATTTTCTTTTAGTTGTTTTGATTGATTTCCTTTTCTAGGATTCCCTATAATTGTATAAATACCTTGTATATTCATAAATAGAAATACAACTTCTTTCATTAGATTACATGGTGTAAATACCAAGTCAAAATTTTAAGCTGTGACCAGTACACTGCATGTTTTGACCATCTGAAACTGAAATTTGGGTAAGATCCAACAAGACCAAGACCGTCTGTTTGCTTAATGGCTTCTCTGTTATCTTGGTGCTTGATCAAAGCTTTAAGCTCCACTAGATGGAGCAGCTGGCACACCTTCTGCAAAACCATTTACAAGTGGTGGCGGGACGCCCCATTTGCCTTCAGATTGCTGGCACACCTTCTGCAAAACCATTTTCAAGTGGTGGCGGGGTACAAGTGGTGGCGGGACGCCCCATTTGCCTTCAGATTGCTGGCACACCTTCTGCAAAACCATTTTCAAGTGGTGGAGGGACGCCCCATTTGCCTTCAGATTCAAGTGGTTCGGAAACATGAACACTACCATCTGACATACCTCATGCATACTGCTTTGGATCTTCTAGATGTGCTGCAACAACTGGGTGGATATTTGAACTGCTGCAGAAAAATGACAAGGTTATTGAAAGAATTACTTCAAATATCAGAGATGAAATCTGTTTGGTGATTGACTATGTATCCTGACATTACTTCTTGAGGATATCAGACACATAAATTTACTTATTGGATGGACACGGGGATGCAGAGAAGTTCCAAAAATCAAACGCCTGAAACATAGCATTCCGAGGATATTCCAGTGACGCCAGAAATGTTAATTCTAGCAATCAGATGCCCTCCCCACTTCATTGTAATAACATGATTTTACAAATACATGATTGCAAAATGAAATTCTTTTGAAACATTCATCCCAATTTTTTTTTAAAAGATGGTCTAGAATAGTGAATTTTGTAGTCCTCTTGTATGCCTTAAATGTATGTTATGTTCAAACATAGCCATGCATTGATTAATATCGGGCTAACCCATCGGTGGCCCCCTAAACTTGGCACCAACTTTCACTTAGGCACCTCAGGTGGGCGATGTTCATTTTAGACACTTCATGTAGGATCTCGTTGTGTCATTTTGACACTTTTTATATTTTCAAAACCGCATTTTAAGTGCGTACATCCAGACGCCTCTTATGTGGAAAAATAAACTAATTGGTATGTGACACGTGGAAATTTTATTTTATTTTTTAAAATCTCAATTTTACTTTCTTTTTTTCTTTCTTCCAAGATCCCAAACCCCATACCCCCACCTCTTTTCTTCTTCTTCTTGCGCCTCCTTCCCCTTCATCTGTTCTTCTCCATCAAAAAGGCAAGAACATAGGTTAGTTTACAAAGTAAAATACGTTTTGGAGAATAAGGGAAATCATACCAAATCGAAAAGTTTTTATATGACATTTAAAAGAAGATGATTTCTTGTGCTACTACGATTGGGATTTACAATGAAGGATATGTAAAATAAATTTCTTTTTTTCTCATTGGAGATTGTTCTTTATTTCTTTTTTATTCCTTGAAATCAATTTAATTTTCAATGGAGAAGGTAAGAATGTAAATCAGTTTTTCCATTTGAAAGAAGTTGATTTCTTTTTTTGTTCCCTTGAAATCGATTTTGTTTTTGAATATGAATCAAGATGCAAATTCGATTTTCAAAGAAGATGGAAGAATCAAAGAGTTTAAAAAAGTTGTGTGGTGATGGAGGATGGTAGAAGGTGGGGAAGATGGAAGGGAGAAAGCAAGGAAGAAGAAGGAGAAGAAAATATTTACAAAAAATAATCAGAATATTTACAAAAAAAGTCTCTGATGCGCTCAAAATTCGTGTAGCACACGTACTGTGCTTAGTCAGCAAAAAGTGTCAAAATGACACAGCGAGACCCTACATGAGGTGTCTAAAATGAACATTGCCCACTTGAGGTGCCTAAGTGAAAGTTGGTGCCAAATTTAGGGGGCCACCGATGGGTTAGCCCATTAATATCTTTTTACCAATTGCCAAGTTTGAGGGTTTTCCCCCCCTTCCCGTGATGAGTTGCAGTTCAAACTTCAGGACTGGATGTTGTTCTGATACCGATTTCACTATTCTAGGTCACGAAAATCTAACAATAAGAAAAATGACGTTTTTTGTCTTCAATAGTGGATTGCAGAATATCTTAAATTAAAGCAGTAAACAAGTTAGCAGGCAGCAAAAAATACCTCATACTGGGTGAAAAATAAGCTGAAGGAATAATACCGGCATCGCATATGGAGGTGCCCTGCAGTGAATATGCACACAGTTGCATCCAAGAAACTGGCATGTATCAGCTGGCTATCACATGAGAAATTGGGGTTAGCGCGGAACCCACTGTAGAAATAGATATAATGTATTAGTTTTTGAGATCTGACGGCATTTAATAACCAACTGTAGTCCGGGAGAGGACTTACATGCTTTAAACATTTCAACTTTGTTGTTTCATATATTGCAATCTGTGCCTCATGCACAACAAAAAATGAGTTTGATCCTGATGAAACTGTGCTCTGGTATCTGATTGAGATATCGATCACCCCCATAGCTGCAAGGATCTAGCCCTCTGCATTTCCCTCCCAACAGTGCTCCATACACAGCTGTACAAAAGCAGATGATGTTGATGAATACAAAAGGATAAGAAAGAGCAAAGAAAAATATAAATAATAACCCCTTTAAAGAGTGTCAGAAATGCAGAGTGAATTTTTCTTCTAGATTAATGATCATTTGAGATGTGGATGTGCTTAGCATTTGTTACCAGTAAAAGACATTAAAAATCCAAAAATTAATCATGACTGCAGAGAGATTATGCAAAAGAGATAACCTGCAATATACTCAGCTCATCCGTAGGCTATATAGTTTAGATTTTGGTGTCTTCCAAAATGCTTGAAACACTTTCAAAACAACTTCATATCTGATAATTCAAAATTTTCAAAACAACCAGAATTCATTCAGCTTTATTTTGAGCATGGGAGGATCTTATTATTCATCTACCTTTATCATCGTCAAATATGACATGCAGCGAAATTACTTCTAATTCCCATGCCTATTCGATTGGCTCAACATTGAATAGGATGGAGAGTGTATGATGCACTATATGCACAATCTTTGGGAGAAAATAAAGCAATCTATCACACACATATTTTCCAAATTATTGTGAGAATAGTTTTACAAAACACTGAGAAGTAAGTCAAATACTACATGATAGCCAAGCATATAAGTCATTAACCTGAGAATCAGCTCCTAAGGAAACTAGCACATTGAGCAAATGAGAGAAGGCGATGCCAGTTATCCTTTTAGAGTGCCCTTTAAGCTTGCTTTTAACCTTCAACAAGAGATTGACATCTACTATATAACAACATATGGTAACTGGCCCAAAACATGAAATCAGATGACTACCAATAACAACAAAAACTTCGTCTTTATCTTTATCATACCTCATCCAGTGGACATTATATATCTGGATGGTAGAATTATCCATGCCAATAGCGATGATGTTGTTATCTTGATGATGGAAGGCAATATAAGTTGCTGCTGGAGGTGGAGGCATGAAAGTTCTCACTCTCTGCATCCATAAGATAATAATTCAGCACAGGATCTTTGAGTCAAGGGTAGAAATAAAAAGAAGACAATCTTGTTATACCTTGAACGTCATCATGTTGAACAAGGAGATCTTTCCACCAGATGTTGATATCACATAGCAAGCATTTTGGACAAAGCAAAGCAGGAGACAGCTTCCTCATGGTTTGGTTCTTGCACATCATTTGTCATTAAGATGCCACTTGAAGGTTGCCACAGTACTGGTGAAACACTGGTTGTTGCCTAAACAAAGATTGACACAATCCTCATAATCACTTCCGTACAAAATGGAGGAAAGCCACAATTTTGGTGTCCATTTACCTTGCCCCTTGAATTGCGCTCATTTCTTAGCCACTTCCAAAGCAGGTTAATAGCATTCAATGCTAGTACTAAGATGGCATCACCAGAGTTTGTATATATTAACCTTGATATCTGGAGTAAGCAAATTGAATCATAATCAGAAACTGAATCATCAAAACTAACACAGTTGAAACAAACCAGGGAAGAAATATTGATAACTAAACAAACTCTCCAGCTAAGCATTATTTCCTAGTAAGAGTTCACTGTGAAATTTTCTGTTCAATACCTGATTACAATGTCCTCACATCCATGTTGTGCAGTCACAGAGATACAACAGCTTCCAAATTGTGGGGTAAGGGGAAGGAACATGGCTAAAATTCAGTAGAAAGCATTTAAGATGTGAACTTGAAATACCAAGCAGACGTTTAGTTACTATTGCTAGTCCAAAGTTGGACACCATTAAAGTTGTCAAATCATTGCGCACAAACATTAGCGGCCTTTTGCTCTGATCTAGACAATCTATAAGGATAAAGACAGAAGGATCTCTGAAGGTGCAGAAAATGATCATCAACTCTTCTTTACTATAAGTTGAAAAACCTATTAGGGAAAAGAAAAGAGACTAGAACACATAATGTGTAGGTGCTAGACCTCGTTTAGGAGGCCTTAAGCTTCCCATGACGTTCTGAAAGATCACCTTTTTTAAAATTTTAATTTCACTTCAATAGAATCAAGATAGAAAAAAGAGATGTCGCGAAACTAAGACCCCTTCCCTCCCAAACAGGAGGAGAACTCACACTCATATGAAAAGAGAAGCACAACACTGCTGGATCATATGGTTCATTTCCACTAAACTTAACACGAACAATTTTATTTGCTGATGGCATGTTCTGATGTTACACACCTTGATCATCTCAGATTGTGCAAAAAGGTGTTGTGAGAAATATTAAAGTTTCCAACCTTAAAACCTGAAGGAGGATATTTCATGAGATAACAAACACAATTAGATATTTCATGAATCAAGAGACATGGGGATTATACCTTAGTCACTCCAAGATTCTCAAGAAGCTTCAAGGACCGACACTGTGACGGATCACTAATTACTTTGAGCTTCCATATCTTGGATTTGTCATTAAGTTCTTCATTAATTCGGGGTCTATAAAAAATACATATTAGTAGATGATATTGACATGAAAAGCACGCAAGACTTCTTAGTGTGTCTTCCACTTTTAAACCTAATGAGTATCTATCTATCTTTTTTTATAAGTAGGAAGCCTCTCAAACTAAATACTGTAAATAGTAACAACAACAACACACCAGTGCAATTTCACAAAGTGGGATCTGGGGAGGGTAAGATGTATGCAGACCTTACCCCTATGACTCTATACTTATGGGGGTAGAGAGGTTGTTATCGATAGATCATCGGCTCAAAAGAAAAGTTGAATTCGAAGCACGATTATAAGGAAATAAGGGCGCAAAAGAGATACAAAGCAAATAGAGCAACAAATAGTAATAAACGGTAATAACAAAGAAAATATATGATAACGGATAAGGAAATGAAACACAATAATTACTATTGGACAAAAAAACCATAGAAATTGAAAAAGAAAAAAAAAGTTACATGAGACGCCATTGATGGAGTTAATTCAACAGGTTTAAAGTTCAATTTGGAACCCTAAAGTTGTTGAACTTTAAGCCTATTGAATTAATTCCATCAATGGCATCTCATGTAACTTCTTTTTTCCTTTTCAATTTCTAGGGTTTTCTTGTTTAACAATAATTACTTCATTTCATTACCTTATTTGTAGTCAAATATTTTCTTTGTATCTCTTTTGCTCTCTTATTTCCTTATATAATCATGTTTCAAAATCCACTTTTCTTTTGAACCAATAGTCTATCGGAAACAACCTCTCTACCCATAGAGGTAGTGGTAAGGTATGCATACATTTTATCCTCCGTAGACCCCTCTTTTTGGGATTGCACAGGATATGTTTGTTGTTGCCGTAACTTTTAAGTTTGAGGTTTCCTACTTATAGAATAAGATAGATAGATAAATAGACACTCATTTTATTTAAAAGTGGAGGATACACAAAGAAATCTTGTCCGATTTTCATATCAATTTCATCTACTAATATGTATTTTACATTCTATTGGCTTTGTAAGACTGGATGCAATAAATGTAACACCCGGATTAATGAAAAACCTAATGACAAATCCAAGATATGAAAGCTCACTGAAACTAGTGAATCATCACAGTGCAGATCCTTGAAGCTCAGATCCTTGAAGCTTCAATCTCAGAGTTACTAAAGGTAAAATTCCAAGTTTCTTGATTCATGAAATATCTAATTGTAAGTGTTATCTCATTTTCAATACTTGGAAACCTTTCCATTGAGCATATTGATAGCAGATAATACATGTGTAAAATGAGATAACATAGCAGAAATACACGTATAAAGTGAGATAACATAGCAGATAATACATGTATAAAGTGAGATAACATAGTAGATAATAAAAAATGAGATAATATAGGAGACAATACATGTATAAAATGAGATAACAGACTCTTCATTGAAGATACCAACTGATGCACATTAAACCATAGCTTGTCCTCCTTCAGGTTTTAGGGTTGGAAATTTCAATGTTTCTCACATCGCCTTTGTGCACAATATGACATGATCAAGTCCCGTGGCATTTATCAGCAAATGAAACTGCTAGTGTTAAGTTGATTGTAAATGAACCATGTGATCCAACAGTGTTGTGCTTATCTTTCCATTCAGGATATGAGTTCTCCTCCTGCTTGGCTCTTAATTTTGTGTTGTCTCTTTTCTCTATCTTGGTCACCGGATGCGATTCTATTAAGGGTAGTGATTACAAACAAAAAAGGGCTGAGAATAAAGCTTTTTGTGGTGAAGGTATGTTTGGTTCACTTGGAATCATGAAATACACAAAAAAAAATTGTTGTTACTTTCTTATCTCTTAGGTTTTCTGCTTCTGTTATTTGGTAAAAATGTTTCCTCTTGCTGTTACTTCATCATTTGTAGATTGTATGTCTTCAAGCAATTTTGTTGCATGGTCCATTCACAATCATGACTACTACTAAAAATGTATCACTTTTTTTTTTTGAAACTACTAAAACTGCATCTCATTTTTTAGCTATTTACTTCTTCTTTCTATTTTTTTGCATAATTTTGAGTTAAAGGATTTCTACAAATATCCCTTCATGTTTTCTTGATTCTAAGATTACGAGAAGAGGTAAAAAAAAATCTAAATGTAATTTACTTGTAGGCAGACACCATTTAGACTGTAAAGATATCATTAATTATTGTTTTTTTAATTTCAGTAATTATTAACTATATGTTTATCATAAATTACTAACACTTCTTGCATATGTGTAATATTAACTTGACAACAGTCTATTAAGCATTCATTCTAAGGAAGATATATGCTATTTTAATTTTTGTATTGTTTCTACTATAATTCAACAACTTCTTGATACGTACGAAATTATAAAAAGGAGGCTACAAGTTCATAAAGATCAGGCAAAAACGTGAAATATTCACAACCATAGCCAACGTTCAATGTTTTGGATGGCGAAAGGCGACAAAAAGCCAACAAGGGTCTGCCTCACCTAGCAGCAAGGCGAGAGGCTAGGCACACACCTTTTGGAGGAGGCTAGACACTCACCTTTGGGAGTTAAATTTACAAACCATTCCACTGATGCCAACAAAAGAGGCCACCTATCTGCAAATCCAGAATTTGTGTGCTGATGCTACAGATATTGGATTTACTGTAGGCTGCGTGATATTATAGCAAAGGACACCTGGTCATGTTTGTGTAAAGAAAAAAATGGAATCCTAAGATTTAGTTCCAGATCCCCTGGAAGCTAATACCTTCATTGTTTGCCAAAACCTTTATCACATTTTCATTAGCAGAAACAGGCTAAATAGAGAAATGAATCGAATTAGAGGGATTGCATTGAATAATTTATTCATTGATATAAAAGGAAATATCAGTTTAATATAGTGTACACAACACCACAATTTTCTCAGTGAACCTCAAAATAAAACTTACTGGAAGACGAAGATGGTCCATATCCCAGAATTTGATTGAGAAATCATCAACCGCTTCCACAAATTGATTTTTAGTTGTATCAAATTGCACAACACCCATCTATGTTTCCAGAAACCCTAGATTTGTGATTTTTTTGAATTGTAAGTAAATAAAAGATTTGGGTAGATGTGATTCTTCCGTCAGTGATGCCATAGATGAAGCCTTCTTCTCTATAACGGAAAAGCTTCCTTGTCTGAATTGGTGTTGCGCCGTCATGCTACTTCGGCGGTTCTGGTTCTGGTTCTGGTTTTGGTTAGGCTTCGGCTTCAGTAAGGTTGAGATATGAAAATATTTCATGAATGCTACACTTTTGTATCATTTTTGTTGCTGCTGGATGAATATGGATGTATTTTTGTGCTTTATTCTTATTTCACCCCAATTAGACTTTGCTACAAATTACTATATTTTATATCATAAATAAAAATAATTTATTTTACATATAAAGAATTTATACCATGTATATATTAGAAATATATATTCATATTTAATAAATATTTTTTTTAACAAAAGGTGTTTTTGTCATAATAATTTTTACCATGAATATTTATCTAGTTAATTTATATAAAAAAAAATATAACAATGATATATGAATTTTCTATAAATTATATTTATACCATAAAGATACATGGTATATTTCAGATATATAAGCGTATACCAAGCATATGTAGTAAAAAATAATAATAAATTATATGTAATACTAATATTTTTCTATAAAAAGTACTTTCAAAATAATAAATTTATCCGATGAATATTTATTTCATAAATTTATATTAAGAATCATATATCATATCATATCATATATCATATATATATATATATATATATATATAAAAAAAAAAAAGAGAACATTAGGCTCACCTACGTGACGCCATTACAAATCAGAATTACCTTTTAATTTATTTATTTCCGAAACCAACCTTCCCCTTCCATGGAAAGTTGTGACATTGCGACTTTTATGAAGAGTTGCGACTTTTATGAAGAGTTGCGACTTTTATGAAGAGTTGCGACTTTTATGAAGAGTTGCGACTTTTATGAAGAGTTGCGACTTTTATGAAGAGTTGCGACTTTTATGAAGAGTTGCGACTTTTATGAAGAGTTGCGACTTTTATGAAGAGTTGCGACTTTTATGAAGAGTTGCGACTTTGCAACTTTTCCAAATAGTTGTAACATTTCTAATATGACACAATAAACATTTGTTCACACTACCCTTTGTTGTCTATAAATAGAGGGATTTCCTCTCATTTTGAAACAACGAAAATTTTGAACCTCTTGTTCTTCTTTTTCTTCACAATTAAATATTTGTGTTCTTTGCTCCTGTTGAGTGGCTCACTGACACCATTGCTTATGTTACATATCATGGTATGTATTTTTACAGTTATTAATTTATGATGATTATGTTATGGCCAAACACATATGCAGACCCTTAAACTTGTCCCTAAATTTCATTTTGACACTCCAACTCAACCTTGTTCCATTTTAACCCTTTAACTCCAATTTTTATGTTCCATTTTGGCACTTCTAAGTGATGTGGCAGAGAGTGTGCATCACACATTCTCTAAGAGAGTGAAAGACAAAAAAGTATTTTTTTAAAATAATAATAGATTACCCTTCAACTCTATTTCTTTTATGTACCATTTAACACAAAATACTAATTTTATGATTTCTTTATTTCTATTTATGTTATTCAACTGCAATTTGCATTTTAAAATCGATGATCATCCATTAATTATTGTAAAAAATTAAAACTGACGGATTATCATTGATTTTTTATATAAAAAAAGTAACAATTTCTTTTTAAAAGTTTTCCCGTGAAAAATAACCAACGAAAGTGTGTCGATTTTCTTTCTTAAAAAAATCAATGACAACCCAACGAAGTCTATCGAGTTTCAACATTTTTTGTAGTGTTATTAATTAGCAATGAACATGAGTTTTTTTTTACTCGTATTTAGTTGAATGAAAAATTAGAAAGCTGATATTTGAGTTAGTCCAAATAGACTAGATATGAAAAAAAATATATGTGATGTTATTTAAATTAACTAATTGTTTTTTAAAAAAATCAACACACTTTTGCCGATTATTTTTTCACACAATAATGTACAGAAACTCTAAAAAAAAAATATTTTAAAAAAAAACAATGTTCATCCATTATTTTTTATCACAATCGCATGTGAAGTACACACATCCCACTTTGTTGATTCTTTGGAAAGAAGTGCCAAAAAGGAACATAAAAATTGGAGTTGAAGGGTTAAAATGAAACAAAGTTGAGTTGAAGTGTCAAAATGAAATTTAGGGACAAGTTTAAGGGTCTGCATATGTGTTTGGCCTTATGTTATTAAAGAATAAATGATAAGATGTAATAATTTTAATTTTCCTTTACATTATTATTGTTTGTTACTACGTAATCTTGTATGTAAGATAATATAATGTTTTAGTTTTAATGACGGATAAGTTTTAAATATTATTTTATAAATTCCATGAAGTTAAATTCCCGCGCGAAGCACGGATAGTTTTACTAGTGTAACAATAATCCAACTTTGCCACTAATTATATTTATACAGTGATATTTTAGATATAAGAATTGTATATCAAGCATGTATTACAAATAAAATTCTATATGTAATAATACTATTAATATTGATTTTACATGAAAATAAAGAGTGATATTAAAATAAAATATTTGAATACATATAGAAAGAGAAATATGTGATAAGTCTTTTGAAGGTATTTTTGTTTAATGATTGATGAGAATTTCTTTGTATCATCAGTTCATAACTTAATATCACATTTGGCATGAGAGTGAGTTGTCTTTTTCTCACAAAATTCTGGCCCATTCTCTATGAGCCAAATCAGAGAATCAAGCTCTTTTTTTGTGCTGATAATTGAATTAGCACCATTGTAAGGGAAAATGATTAAAACAATTATGACAGTCACCAGATATAAAAGAAACAACACACATTGTTGTTCATAATAAGTTGAGGTTGAGGAGACGTCACAAGTCAAAGGGACTCGCTCTTAGAAAGCTGAAAGGAAAAATTGTTGGAGAGTACTGAGCTAAACTATGTTCTGTAGCAAATGGATTGCCACACACAAAAGCATAACATTGGTGTAAAAACCAAGTCAAAGAACACAATTTTTTGTGGCGTTACATACACCTCTCATGTTTGACTGGAATTTGGGTAAGATCCAAAAAAACCAAGACACGAGACTGTTTGCTTAGAGGTTTCTTTGTTATGTTGGTGCTTGATCGAAGCCTGAAGCTGCAATAGATGGAGCAGCTGGTACACCTTCTGCAAAGCCATTTTCAAGTGGTGGAGGGACACCCCATTTGCCTTCAGATTCAAGTGGTTCGAAAACATGAACACCACCATCTGACATACCTAATGCAAATTGGTTTGGATCTTCTGGATGTGCTGCAACTACAACTGGGTGGATATTTGAATTGCTGCAAAAATATGACAACGTTATTGAAAAATTACTTCAAATATCAGAGATAAAATCAGTTTGGTGAATTGACTACGTATCCTGACATTACTTCTTGAGGATATCAGACACATAAATTTACTTATTGTATGCACACGAGGATATGCAGAGAAGTTGCAAAAATCAAACACCTGAAACATAATATTCCGAGGGATACTCCAGTGATGCTAGAAATGTTCATACTGGCAATCAGATGCCCCACTTCATTGTAATAACATGATTTTACAAATACATGATTGCAAAATGAAATTCTTTTGAAATATTCATGTCAATTTTTTAAAGCAAGATGGTCTAGGATAGTTAATTTTGTAGTCCTCTTGTATGCATTAAATGTACGTTATGTTCAAATGTAGCCATGCATTGGTTCATATCTTTGTACCAATGGCCAAGTTTGTGGGGGGTTTTCACCTTTCCGTGATTAGTAGCAGTTCAGACTTCAGGACTGGATATTGTTCTGATACCAATTTCACTATTATAGCTCATGAAAGTCTAACTACAAGAAAAATGATGTTTTCTTCTCTTCAATAGTGGATAGCAAAATATCTTAAAAATTAAAGCAGTAAGAGGTTGTTTCGTAGAGTGTATTAGAAAAAATAATGCATGTCTTAGTTTTATGTATTACTAGTACCTTTTTTGATACACTTCCAATATATGTATAACTAATACTACACTCTACTTGGTATTATGCTAAGTATTACCAATACATAGAAATTCATGGTATTAGCAATGCAAGGGGTTCTAATGCATGCATTCGAATGGTTAAAGACACAATTGTCCCTCAACATTTTCCATGTCCTTTCCACCATATTGATGGAGGGTAATTTGTAAACAATTTTTTTTTTTTTAAATAATGCAATACGTGTTATTTTTAAAGAACCAAACCAAACATTGCATATTAAAAAATCTCGGCATAACTAATGCTTGCATTACTAATGACAACATTATTCTTACACACCCTACCAAACGACCCCTAAATAAGTTAGCTGGCTTCAAAAGATACCTGATACCGGGTGACAGATAAGCAAAAGGAATAATGCAGCATTGCATATGGAGGTTCCCGGCAGTGAATACGCACACAGTTGCATCCAAGAAACTAGCATATATAAGCTGGCTATCACATGAGTATGTGGCATGAGAAATTGGGGCATCACTTTCACGCGGAACCCACTGTAGAAGAAGATATAAAGTATTAGTTGTTGAGATCTGACTGCATTTAATAACCAACTGTAGTCCGGGAGAGGACTAACCTGCTTAAAACATTCCAACTTTGCTGTTTCATATACTGCAATCTGTGCCTCATGCACAACAAGGAAATGAGTTTGATCCTGATGAAACTGCACTCTGGTATCTGATTGAGATATTGATTGCCCCCGTAACTGCAAGGATTTAGCCCTCTGCATTTCCCACCCAACAGTGCTCCATACACACAGCTGTACAAAAGCAGATGATGTTGATGAATACAAAAGGATAAGAAAGAGCAAAGAGAAATATAAATAATTATCCCTTTAAAGAGTGTCAGAAATGCAGAGTGTAATTTTTTACAGATTAATGATCATTTGAGATGTGGATGTAGGCTTAGCATTAGTTACCAGTAAAAGACGTTAAAAATCCAAAAACTAATCATGATTCATGACTGCAGAGAGGAGATTATGCAAAAGGAGATAACCTACAATATACTTGGCTCATCTGTAGGCTATATAGTTTAGATTTTGTTTTCTTCCAAAATGCTTGAAACACTTTCAAAACAACAACTTCATGTTTGATTATTCAAAATTTTCACCTTTATCATCATCAAATATGACATGCAGTGAAATTACTTCTAATTCCCATGCCTATTTGATTGGCTTAACATTGAATGGGATGG